GAAGCGTTTGAGAGAGGCGGGGCATAGAGGACCTACAATAATGTACAGTATTTGAAAAATAATGTGTTTTTTGAACATTAAAGCATGTCAACATATTCTGTTACACCAAATACACAAAATAATGATCTTTAAAAAAGCATCATATGACCCCTTTAATATTTTACAGTATTTAATATTTAAAAAGAGCATACATTATGCAGTTATCCCACTTCAGCTAAAACTTACGTTCCACAGCTGGGCAACTTTTGCAGAATTTGTAACAGTATTTTTATCAAATATAAAATCATTGAAATGTTTTAAAGTAACAAAAGAGTACTACGTTGTTGTTGAAACAGAGATATTAGTACAATGCACAACCTGAAAAATGAATGAAATATAATGTAAGATTTATTGAAGATATCAAGTGTAAATAGACTTTGTAAAGAGGATTATTATGGCTGTAAGTTCTTAAGAAAGCGTAAAGGATGCTCAAATGGCTAATTACAGGCCTAATGTATTGTTAATGGAACATGATCAAATGGATCTTCATCATAACAAACATGATGTCCTTGTAAGCACCATCATCCATATAACCATATGCCAAATTGGATCAGATCACAAAATGTTTGTATTAAATTAAGTTTATCAGAAAAGTTTAGGGCAGAAGATGCACATCTGTGGTGTTTTGTGTTGAAGTACATCCCATTCTCTCATTTAAGAGGTCATTATCAGTTCATCGTGGCTGATGGATGATGAACATAGCAGGTGAGGGAGAGGTGGAACAATAGGATGGAAAGGTACCACTCCTGTCATGCGAGCATTATGTGGCACAATGGAGCCTGATTTGCTGTTGTTGTACAGGACAGTGAGTTCTGATTGGCTGGCTTTTGTGTGCCAGTGGTTATAGAGTTCGAGGACAGGCAATAAATGACTGAAAACAATTACGTCATTACCGGGAAGGGAACACTGAGTGACGAAGTCTGGAAAGAGAGTGACTTGTGTGAACGTGAAGGTGTGATCTGATGGATGCAGACCTCGAGTCGCCTTTAGTTATGATGGATTGATCATTTAAATTTTGTGCTCAGAACTCTAGTGTAGCTCAGAGGGAAGAATCAGCTTTATGGTTTGCTGCATTTGGATATTGACAGTACGACTTGCTTGCACAAGAGGCATTAAATAGTCAAATGTGAGTCAAATTAGCTGTATAGATTATTGGTATAATTACGTCATTTGCAAAATACTCTGTATCCCAGCTGCCTAGCCAAGGTAAGACACACTGTTTCATGTCTGAAAATAAGTTTTAATTTCTTTAGAAATAATTGTGCTATTTGGATTTTTATTATTGGAGTTTAGATGATGTTTGTATATCTCATGGATGATATTCTGCAGTACAAAGCTTCATATTTTCTGCCTCTTTTGTTTTGTTAACATCAGCCTGGCATTGTTTGCTCTTACATATGGCTACTAATGTTGGTTGTTTTTACCAAACACGCACCCAGTCCTGTCTAGGAGCACAACACATGCTGTGGTAGAGCCTCAGTGCCATGCTTAACTCTCACTGCTTCTGCCACGTCCAGTACATTTTATTGTCTTTTCTCTTTCTTGGCTTCTCTCACTCTCTCTAGCCCCAGGATAAGGTAAGAGTGATGTCTTTCTCTCTCTGTGCATTTCGCCTTCTCTCTCCGTAGCTGTCGTTTCTGTCTCTGCCCCTTTCCATACGTACTACAACTCCCATCGTGCCCCGCTCCACCGTGTCATCTGGTGCAGTGCGTTTCTGTGGAGTCTCATCCCTTTCATACACTGAGGCCTGAGCTACTCGGCCTGATAGAACAAATTCAAGTTTTAGTCTATGAACTTCTATGCGTTGACGTTTTATTTGTTCTATCCGGCTCCGAAGCTGAACACGCTTCTTATTGGTCACATTAAAGCCATCTAACCTTTTTGAAGGCAGTTTATAAATGCAAAAGATGTAAGGAGTGTTTTAAAACAGGAAAAGTGGGCAGTAGTTGTGTGTTGTGAAAAATTGTGGTTTTAAATGTTATTAATTTCTGAAATATGAATGAATAGTGTGCTAACTATTATGTGTTGGTTCTTTATAAGTTTTTGTTTAGTGTGGCATGGATTATGTTCATATATGTTGTGTTTTGCTGTTGTTTCAGTTGTGTAATGCTCTATGTAACATCCAGGGACAAAAGCTTCAAGCTGATCAGTCAGCAGTTGAAGCCAATTACTCTTGTCACATCGCTGACGGCACATTTAATTGGCCATTACTCACCACATTGATCACAGGTCAATTTTATTGCAAAAACTAAAAAAAAGAAAAGATATGGTGTTTTAAGCATGTTTGGTTATGATGATCACTAGTGTGCTTTTCATAGAAAAGCACAGAGAGGATAGTTAATCCACATTGTGTGCTCAAACACACACATTCACACAGCTTGGTCACAGAATGTGAGGTAGGAGGCATATGATTAGAATATAACTTAGCCTGTAAGGGTGAGAAAACAAATATTCCTCTTAATTTATTTGTTGTATGCTGTTTCACATGCATGCAAATGCACACAACCATAGTACAGCCTTCTTATACAATGCTGGCTCTGTTCAGAGTGAGATCATTTGAAAGAAGTGCATAGCAAAGAAGGAGAATGATGAAGAAGGAAAGGCAAAAGAGATGAAAGAAAATGAAAGAAGAAATGAAAGAGTGTGCACTGCAGAGAAGGGTGAGTTGGCTGCTGTAATGCTACAGAACCATAAAATCAATGCAGATCAGGACAAATTAAGCTGAAGTGCTAGAAGATGAGAGGAAGGAATGGAAAGAGAGTTGTAAATCCATTCATCCAAAAACTAGCTCACAAACCGACACTGTTTCTTTCGTAAACACACCCTCGTGTTCAGTTCTGCTGTGCGCGCTACAGTGCTGTACCTTTAAATCCTGCTGACTGCTGCAGAATTTTCAATCTCTCATACACACACTGTGCAACCAACCCAAGACTGCTGTCCTGCAGAGATCCAGGCGTTTTTTTCAGAGCACTGCAGAAGGGTGCACACACTCACACATGTAGTTGTAAATTTGATCTGAGCTGAAAAGTACTTGTTCAAAGTGTCAGTTTATTGGAGGTGCTTGCTATAACTGTTCCTCATGGATTAGGGTTTTTTCAAAACCTTTCGCATTAAGTGTTAAAGGGATAGTTCACCCAAAAATGAAAATTCTGTCATTAATTACTCACCCTCATGTTGTTTCAAACCCATAAGACCTTCGTTCATCTTCGGTAATAATAATTTTATTAATAATTAATTGTTATTATAATAGTAAGTACATGTAATGTGTAACACAGACACCTTAAAATAAAGTGTTACCCAGAATTTTTATTTTTGGGTGAACTATCCCTTTAAACCTCGGCACATAGCGAGACCTGCACTTCTTTGTTATATTGACATAAATGATACCACGAATTGTGCGATTTGTTTAGGAGAGGTGTGTGATTGCTATTACTTCTAAGTGCTGTTAACAACCACCCGGAACACCATAACAACCACAAATCAATGCATTCAAATACAATTAGAACAGCTTAGCAATGAGATAGCGATAACAGTGAGATTCATTCAATGCCCTGGCATGGTACTCGATTCAAGTACCACTCAAGAATCGAGTTACATGTAAGTAGCACTAGCATACAAAGCGTAAAACCTGTTAATTTAGATATACACTACAGTTCAAATTTTCAGTAGTTTTGGGTCAGTAAGATTTTTTAAAAGAAATTAATGCTATAATAGATTACACAATAACAAATTCAAAATATAAAACAGTTATTTAAATTGTAATAATATTTCACAATATTACTTTTTTGTAATTAATGCAGCCTTGGTGAGTATAAGAGACTTCTTTCAAAAATACAAAAAATTCTTTCCGACCGCAAACATTTGAATGGTATTGTATCTGACTAAATCATTTAAATGTTACAGTTACAGTAATGTTGCCCATACAGCATCTGTTCTACATGTCTGTTTCCTCTCTATCCATCAGATATCCCCTTCTCTCTTCTCTCCTGAAGGGTTTGATTTTGTTCTCCCTGGATGTTGCATGTTGTAACTTTTGTGTTTTTGTTTTGTTTATGTTTGTCTGTCCCCGTTTGTGTGTCTTTCACTTTATGTTTATGTGTATCTGCTTGTGCGTGTGCACATGTGTGAACTTCTTACACACTCCAGTCTACGCTCCTTCAGCTCAGACAGGTCCAACACTCTGAACAGAAGCTCCTTCGCTCGGGACAGCATGATGATTGAAGAGATGCTGGTGCCCACCAAAGACACGGTAAGAACGCCCACTCTCTTTATTGCTCTCATCTGTGGCTTTCATTGTCTTGTTCTCATTCAGTACTGTAGCCGCTTTTCCACCGTCAGGCCAAACCGTTCTCGTTGCTTAACTGTTCTGTTTCGGGCCCATCCGGCCCAGCCAGTACTGATATGGTTTCATTTTCCACTGTGGGGCTGATAACAGAGCTTGTAATACAAATGCATCAGTCGTTGCCGTGGTAAGGCAAGTGTTTACAGATGGTATGAGATGTAAATAGCGACCGCATTATGATCAGATATTTCTGTTTACTTAGATAGCTCAGATAGTACACTTGGCCAGCTACAGAGAGAAACTGGTAGCCAGGCAACAAACAAGTGACCAATCTTGAGTGGCAACGTCACTACACACATTCTACCAGCAAAGTTCAGCACTGTTAGCCAACCGTGCTGAGAATTACGGACCAAGAACGGTTTGTAATCATGTTGTGCCGAACCAAGCTCAAGTGGAAATATATAACCATTCCTTACCGTTCTTAGAATGGTTCACTCTGAAGGTGGAAAAGCGGCTGTGTTATACTCTACATCATACTTCCAGAAAGCACACACACTACCGTGTTGTTACAAACCGTAGTGAGTTACCTTCATAGGCAGCATATTAAGGCATCATACTGTAGGTGCAAAACCTGTTTCAAAACCAAGGCAAATTATGCTGCTATTTAAGTTTTTTCTTTATCCTTAGTTATTACGTCAATCCCAGATTGCATGAATACATCAAAGATGATGGATGAAGTAAAAAATAAAGTGGATAAAGTAAAGAATTTATATTTATAATTTTGTTTTATAGCATTTATAAATATTTTGAATTAGATTTTATTTTTATATTTTCATTTAAATTTAAATTAAATTTTTTAGTTTTCATTTTGTTAATTTTTTGTGCTTATTAGTTTTAAAAATTTTCTATTTTTTAATATTTCAATATATTTTAAATATTCTATTTTGTTTTCAACCTAGTTGTTTTATTTTATTTCTAATTTTCATGTAATTTTTCTTATATTTATATATTATTTCAGATTTCAAATGAAAAAAAAAAGATTTTAATAGTTATTGTTAGCGATAACAACAACTGTTTATAATTGATTATAAATATACTTATTTCATTCAATACTGTACATTTCTGCAATATGGACATTGCTTTGACAGTCACCTCTGATTGTAATGTAGAAATGTGCATTTCCCGTAAAGCTGTTTCCAATAAATGTGAATTAAGTGTAATTGAATTCAGTACTAAAAAATATAATTAAAATTGTTTATGTGTATTTTGCCACAGGTTATGTGTTATATGTGTGTGCCACTGCACTGCTATAAGATATCACACTTGATCTGCATCAACACTGACTGATCGGCACTAGAAACTAGATATGACATACAAAAAATAAACGAAGGATTGCCATATCTTAACCCTGTATTAATAAAACGCCATAGATTTATTGTTAATTCCATTCATTGCCTGGCATTCTTCCTACAATTGCGCAAAGTCCACTCAGGACTTTCCACAACACAGCAAAATGTCTTGGAATATTTGTTTTGGGTCCCATGGGGTTTACGAAAGTCTGGTCCCCATCCACACAGACACAAACACACTCTGTTCTGTTCTGTCCATTTTCACATTCTCATTTCCAAATGTGCCTTTAAATAAACTCTTAGACTTGAGACTTTCAGTCTAATAAGAGTTTATTTAAAGGCACATTTAGATAAAAATGCTTGACCTCAATCTATCCTTAAACAGTTGAATAGACACTGGGAAGTGGACTCTGTCACTCTTTTCCATTGTGTTTTCCTGTTCAGAGTTCTGTTGCTCTTTCCATTTTCAGGAGCAAATATTCAGGCTAGACTCCTGGAATTGCTCAATTTTTAAAGAAAACAAAGATGTAGTTACTAGGCCACTTATTTTATTTGATTAAAATTTGAATTGTATTCATTTAGCATGCATATCAAGCATAACAGCCATTAGCCTTAGCTAAAAATAACTGTTATGAGGTCAGTATTGTGTCTAGAGTGAAGTATATGACTGTGTTCCTTGTTTATGGGAACATAGAAAGAGATAGAGTGCAGTACAGCATACTAAACTGTTTTTATTTTTGCTTCAGTGTCAGATTTTGTGTTCTAAAAGCAATTGAGCTGCCTGACTTAGCTTCATTGTTCAGCTCAGGTGCAATCAGGTAGTTTTGAACAATATCAGAGAAACACTTTACATTATACATATTTTCTCTCTCTTTGTTTGGCTTCAGAGTGTATTTAAAGATATTTCCTACATGGTGGACCCTCAGAATAAGGTACAGGTCCTTGATCTTGACCATGTTAGAAAATTTCTCTCCATCTTTTCCATCCTTTCATTAGACAAAAATCCAAACACACTTGTTTTTTCTCATTTATTTGCTCATCTGTATTTGTGTGTCATTGTTTAGAAATACAAGCTCCACCTCCATCTACAGTGTTTATTTTGTTGTCTTTCACTCATTGTTTTTTCTGCTATTTATTTTTCTTGTTGAGTGTCCTGTTTGAGGCCATGTTTCATCCAGATGCATCAATGGGATGTTTCCAAAGACATTGTGTTTCTTAGCTTTATCTCGGCAGCGGATTTACAAGGCATCTCAGGAATCTTTAGATAACCAAGTCACTGAATTAAAAAAACCCAAAACAAAACAATTTTATATACATATACTGTATGTATATATATATATATTATCATTTCTGAATTTAATTACAACATGTATTGCTAGTTTCTGCGTCTAACAACCTTCACACTCATTTTGAAGGTTATACAACTGCTCCTGACCCTGAAGTGTGTGTTTTTATATATGGATGTGTTTACAGCACCTTGCAGTGACTCGAGAATACAACAGTGAGTGTATGCGGCGGTACAGTTGGACCCCTGATACAGTGGACCACTCACATAACACTGTCTGCAGTCCTGTGCATTCTGGGTAAGAATATGTTTTTGTGTTTATGGTTGTTTAACTTTAAGTATGCAAACACATTAGTAACCACAACATTGATAGATTTTGATTACGATTTATGATATATATATTTATATGATGTATATACGCTACAGTTCAAAAGTTTGGGGTCGGTAAGATTTTTTAATGTTTTCTAATATGATGATATGTTGCTCAAGAAACATTTCTTATTATTATAAATGTTGAAAACTGTTATGCTGCTTAATATTCTTGTGGAAACAGTGATACATTTATTTCACATACTTGATGAATAGAACATCCAAAACATTTATTTGAAATATAAATATAAATCTTTTGTAACATTATAAATGTCTTTAATATCACTTTTAATGCATCCTTGCTGAAATGAAAGTACTGATTGCTTTAAAAAATCCTACTGACCCCAAACTGTTTAATAGTGCTCAGTCCTCCTTATTTTACATATCTGTATTTAGTTAAAATTTTTTATATAGAAGAAATTAAATGTCATTCTGTGTGTTAGTGGCACCAAATGAATTGCAATTCTGTTAGAATACCCATTTATCTCAATGCTAAAACTTACTGCTTTTGACCACCTATATCTCTTAATGAGCATCTCATTAGCACATTATAATGATACCATTTATGATTGGTGGGAGATGATTTAATCCAACCAATCAGTAAACATGATGCTGTTTTGAGCAAGCATGTGAAAAGCTTTTGATTGGCTTCATTGAGTTGTTTGCATAAAGCACATTTTGTTTTCCTTTAGGTTCCCCCCACACTTTCTGCTACATTGCACATAAGATCTGATTTTTGACATCAGCTTCATGTCTTTCTTATATGTATGTCAGCATTTTTGCCATGACAGCAACTGTAATAATGAATGTTGTTTATTTTTTTACTTCCTGCTTTCTGTTCTTTTTTTCTTTTCGTTAATTTTTCCTTTTGCAGCCCTTCCTCCCCGCTTCCTCAGTATGACTCCAGGTGAAAACTGAGTCCGGTGACATCACTCTTTCTATAGCTTTCTGTCACGTATTTTCATCTGTCCTCTCCTGTTTACTTTCACTCTTTATCTGTTTCCTGCTCTGGTGTTTTATTCCCTGTTTTATCTCCTCATCTGTGTGAGCACTCCTCCACACTGTGTGTGTTTAGTCGGTCTTTGGGAAATGGACCTCATCCCATTCAGAATTCAGCAACTTCAGCATAGTCATAAAATAAACTTCAGATCACTCATTACACACACTTAGTTCCACCATCAGCACATTAGACATTTTGTGATGAAAGGGAGGTTTTTGTAATGTTTTTAATTTCACAGTTAGAAATTATTTGTTGAAGCAGCATCATTTCTTCAGTAGGACTGGGCAATATGTTGAAAATTAACAGAATATTTGTAATAATTTTTTAAATTTAAAGTAGGCATTTCGCAGTGATGTTTTGAATTTATTCAGTACTCTAATTCAAGAAATTAATTTTTGTTTGCGCCATCCCTCAGTAATGTTTCCATAAATCTTGTGGGTGGCATATATAAAAAAAGTTTGTTTTATTAAAAATATGTAAATAATGCAGTTTGTTACTATTTATTGTTATACTGACCCATATAAAAGAAAATTATTAAATATTCTTCGAGATTTTAATTGATTTATTCCTTGAAAATAGTGTGGAAAAACATACCTTTATTATTTTTAAGATGTCTACTGTTTTAGTTCTTACATTAAACATTTTAAATGGATATTTTGTCAAAATGGTTCCTCTGTCAAAAAAAAAAAAGTAAGTAAAGGAAATGCATCAGGACAAACATTCAAAAATTTGGGGTCAGTATTTTAAAAAAATGTATTGATTGAATGACAGTAAAGACTAATGCATTGTTACAAAAAATTCTATTTAAAATAAAATATGTTATTTTGAACTTTCTATTCATCAAAGAATCCCGAAAAAATATCACACTTAAAATATCATGATTAAAATTTTGTTTTCTGAAGGATCATGTGACACTGAAGACTATAGAGGCTTTGTAATCACAGGAGTGATTGACATTTTAAAATGTATTAAAATAGAAAAATGTTTTTAAATTATAATAATATTTCACAATATAACTGTTTTCATTGTATTGTGACCAAACGAATGCAGCCTTGATAAGCATAAGAGACTTCTTTCAAAGGTAGTTTTAATATATATTGAATATCACCAATATGTTGACTTGCCATATGTTGTCAAAATTTTTGGTTTATCGCCCAGCCCTTGTCATCAGTGTTAGGACATCATGTATATGTAACAAACACACAGTGGCAATGCACATGCAAATATATATATTGCATTCAGCTCACGTTAACAGATAAAGGGTGTTTTGGGTTTTCTATCCACCTGTGGAGGTGCTTTTGGTCACACTGTTGATCACTGATCACTGCTTCGAAACAATTAATCTTGGCAGTAAACAGGATATTATTTTCACCTTTGCACACCGAGTCATGACATGAGTACAGTGACTATGGTAATATTTGGAAAGTCAGTATTGAAGGAATCCTTTGTGTTTCCTGTTCAGGTGTCTCTGCTGCTGTTGTATGAGGGACTAAATGCTGCCAGGTTTAACAGCTCGAAGCACTGTCACTCTTTTTAATTGTTTTTCCTCTGTCTTGACTAAACTGTCTCTATCTCTCTCTTTAATGGTCTGTTCTTGCTTACTGTTTCTCCTCCTTTTCGTTTCTGCTTAGACCTTTCCCTTCTCCCTCCCTCCCTCTCTCTCACCACGTGTGTTGGGTGTACAGTGATCACAGCATGGGAATCTTCTCTCACCCGTTCATGTCTGTGTAGTGGGTTAGCGTGGTGTCCCTCTTTCTTTCTTCATGTCCTTCCCTCTTTCTCTTCCTTTAATCCTGTATTCTCTTGCAGGTTCCTAGTGAGTTTCATGGTGGATGCTCGGGGTGGGTCAATGAGAGGAAGTCGTCATGATGGGATGCGTATAATAATTCCACCCAGGAAGTGTTCAGCACCAACAAGAATCACTTGCCGCCTAGCAAAACGGCACCGCTTGGCATACCTACCCCCTATGGTGGAGGGAGAGGGACTTGTGAGCAGACTGGTGGAAATGGGGCCAGCTGGGGCACAGTTTTTGGGGTAAGAATTCCTCCATGGTGGCTTAAATTATCTGTAGTTTCACAGTTAAAGCAGATAACTCATGAACAACATAATCTTGGCCTAAATGCATTAGTTTTAAACTTTTTTGACAAAAATGTCAATGGGGAATGAGTTCAGATTGAGTAATGTCAGGATTTCCTTCTTAAATTCTCATAAAATTAGTGCTGAATGCAGTTTGCATGGTGCAGTTCCCCATCTGTTTATTGAATTCTTCCCTTATTGTCTTCACTTCATTTCAGGCCTGTGATAGTTGAAATTCCTCATTTTGGCTCCATGCGGGGAAAGGAGAGGGAGCTGATCGTCCTACGCAGTGATAATGGAGAAACCTGGAAAGAACATCATTGTGACTGTAAAGTGACAGAGCTCACCTCGATCCTTAATGGCATGGATGAGGGTAATGTAGTAATGACATAACTAAAACTTCAGACTAATATGGTTTTCATTAAATACCTCACAGGTAGTTTTCATTAAATCTTTATCATTTAGTTTATTTGTGTTTTCATATGTAATTACAGAGATGGATAGTCCAGCAGAGCTGGAGAAAAAACGTATCTGCCGCATCATTACAAAAGATTTCCCACAGTACTTTGCAGTGTTGTCACGCATCAAACAAGAAAGTGATTACATGGGACCAGAGGGCGGAGTCCTGAGCAGTGAGGCGGTTCCCATGGTGAAAGCTGCCTTTCCTCACGGAGCGCTTACGAAGAAGATTCGTGTTGGACTACAGGTATAAGGACTTATCAGGATGGTTGTTGTCAAATTATGTTTGGTCAAGCTTATGTTTTTAATTATTTATTTAATTTATTTTTTAATTTTATTGTATGGAATACCTGGAAATATTTGGGAATTTTAAAATAGTGTTTTCTACAGTAATTTTTTGTTTATGTTTATTATCAATTTTAAAATATTTAACAAGATATATATTGATCTTGTTTTAGAGCTTGTATAGATTAAAAATCGCTTGCAAACCATAATAATTTTTGGTTTGCGAGTATTTTTTTTCTTTTGAGTCAGTTTTTTTCAATAAATAACACACACACACACAGTAGCAGAATATTTTCACACAGAACACAGACATAATAGCAGAATAGCATCTGTTCTTTGGAAAGTGAATCTGTCTGTTACAACAGTGGTCAGGATGCATTTCCTGGTAAACATCTCATGAACATAGCATAGAAACTGAGAGTATATACATGTAACAAAAGAAACAAGTCAGAAGACTACAGCAATAAAAAGCTATTTGCATAATGGACGATTAATTAGTTGCATATGCCTAGACTGGTTATGCAAAATGTTCATCAGACATGATCCAAAAAAAAAAAAAACAGCATTAGTTCAGAAAAATATGTACTGTAGATGTTTTTCTCCTGTACATCATACCAATTTTTTCTGTTTCTCTCTCAGGCACAGCCTGTGCCAGAGGACATTGTGCGGACTATCACTGGTAACCGTGCATCCTTCAGCCCAATTGTTACTGTGGAGCCCAGAAGGAGGAAATTCCACAAGCCCATCACCATGACAATCCCTGTGCCACCCAGATCCAAAGAGGCTGTTTCTAACGGGCGCAAAGGAGAACCTGCCCCCTGCCTTAGACTGCTCTGTAGCATTACAGGCACGTGAATAGTTTGAGTGTGTGTGTATTTTAAATGAAATGTGGAAAATGTCAGGTTGTCATGGTCAAATGAAGGTGCAACAACAACTGCACATTATTTGAGATGCCCCATTTGAATTTTAATTCAACATTCGTGTTTGCTTTTGTGTATACAGAGTTAAAAGTCATGAAAAATCTGAGATAAAACATGCATTTGCAAGTGACACGAAATGTCATACTACTATCGAATAAAAAGGACCAAAAAATCGTTAAGCACTCAAAAAAAGTGTGGTGATGAAAGTGATTCCCAACACCAGTTTTTAAACAGTTTTGTTTTTAGGTGGAACATCCCCTGCACAGTGGGAAGACATCACTGGGACCACTCCACTCTCCTTTGTCACAGACTGCGTTTCCTTCACCACAAATGTGTCTGCCAGGTTAGTCTCAGCTGATGTTGGAGTGTATCCGATGCAGATTCAAATCATGTGCTTTGGAGTGGGGGACAGTGGACGATCTCTGCCCTAGATTAAATTATATCATTATAATAATTTTCATCTGCACATCCACAATGTCAAATGCTGATTGAACTCAAATATGACTGCAGACTGTGGCCTGGAATAAAGAGTTAGTGAGGAAAGGAAAGTCCACATAAGATCATTAAAGAACAGACACCATTTCTATAAACATTGTGAGGGATCTAATGTTTCTGCTCAAAATTTCTCTAAATGATGTAACTCCCCAGTTTGTGAGTGTCAGTTCCTTACAAAACTGTTCTTTTAATCAAATATTGAAATTAATGGACATTACTGCATAAGCTCAGAAATATGCTAAATTAAACCATGTTTATTCTTGTTGCAAGTAAACCTGTATTTATTGTAGATTTGATGGCATCTTATTTTATGTGTTATCTGCTTCATTTTGATAAGCATTTATTTTTCTAAATATGCATGCTTCTGTAGTCATATATTTTGCTTTTGGATTTAACATTGTTTTTTTTTTTGTCTATGAATATATCAGAACAGATTTGCGGCCCATTTTTGGGTTTCAACCAACCCACTGAGCACCATTCGTATAAACATTCATTGTTTGTGTCAGTATTGAAGACAACTGACTGAAAGATTTTGTTTCCAAAACTTCTATCATGTAAACAAGGTTTTCGGTCCCATGGAGTTGTAACAGAGAAAGTAAATATTTGTGAAAATTTGAGAATTGTACAGCATTTTCCTTATTCTAGGTAAATTATTTCCACTCTTTTTTGTAGATTTTGGTTGGCAGACTGTCAGCAGATCAGTGAGACAGTGGGTTTAGCATCTCAGTTGTACAGAGAGATGATCTGCGTTCCATACCTGGCCAAGTTTGTGGTGTTTGCTAAAATGATCGACCCTATAGAGTCCCGCTTGCGTTGCTTCTGCATGACTGACGACAAAGTCGACAAAACTCTGGAGCAGCAGGAGAACTTTGAGGAGGTGGCAAGGAGCAAAGACATTGAGGTGTGCCACTGTAACTCACACGCTAGCCTACACACATGCACACACTATACACACGTTCACATAAATAATTAACGTTGAACATGCTCTCAGTGTTTGGAAACAGTGAGTCACGAGTTTGTGAATATTCTTGTATATACACACACACATAAAAAAATCCATGGAAAAAAACATGAAACATGTTACAACAAACTTTTTTCCTCTGTAATTCACAGGCCACCCACACGTTCATATTCTCCCATATTCAAACACAATAACCCTTCTGATCATTTATTGACACCTTAGAGACATAAATGTATAAATGCTTATGATTTTTCACTCGTTCCTTTGTCAGATTCTGGAGGGTAAGCCCATTCATGTAGAATGCTATGGCAACATCACTCCTCTGGCAAAGAGTGGTCAGCAACTCGTCTTCAACTTCTATGCCTTCAAAGAGAACCGACTCCCATTCAATGTCAAGGTTTGAGTGACAGTGGCCTAACTCTTTCAGCTATAAAGGATGCACTTACAGAATTTCAGTAAACAAGTATTATCCAGTAAATCAGCTATACAGTTTAATCTGAATATTGAACTGAAATGCAAAAAGTTATATTTACTCTATTGATCGAAGATATAAAGTAAGTTAAAGGTTTTTTTTGTGTTCCATTAGCAGATGTAACAAAATGTCTTGGACATTATATTGATACTTAGCCATGTGGATGCAGCATCACGCAAACGTTTTCGGTTACCAGTGCCACTGAAAAAAATGCTCTATTCACAGTCAGCCATAAATAATTTATTTCATGAGAACAAGTGTCCTATAGCAAAGGTATAGCATATAATTTTATTTGGCTGGTCATGTGACCGCAATATAGCAGACCCCATGAGGCAGCTCAGCTCAATCTAAAATAAAGCAGCATTTATTAGGACACTGATATGACTGGAGTTATATCTTAAGACTTTTTGTCATTCTGTGTTGTGTATATGGATGTGTTTTGTAGGTCAGAGATATGGGCCAAGAGCCATGTGGCAGAATCTCATTCCTCAGAGAACCTAAAATCGCAAAAAGCCTGCCACAGAGTGCAATCTGCAATCTTAATTTTACACTGCCAACACACAGGAAGGTAAGAACAGACAAAAACACATTGTGTGACATTTTCTCTAGTGTTATTTGGAGTCTATTAAACATTAAACATGTCACAGAGCTATTTGTGTTGTTGCTTTAGCTGTAACTTTATTTTGCCTTTCCTTTTGTCTTGCTCTCTTTTAATCTCTCTGCATCTGCATTTATTATCTTATCTATTCCTTTACTGTCCTCTTTCCACTCCTTTTCTCTTATCTCCTCTCTTTCCAATATGATCTTCACTTACCCACCATCCTCGGCTGCTGCTGCTCCATTATGTATTGCTGCAATGCACCGTGGGAAATTTTAGGAAATGGAGTCAGATCCTGATGATGAGGTACATATTTAATAACTTGTCCACCTTTGCCTTTAATGTGGTGCTTATGTGATCATACGCTTATTTATGTGATTAGTCAAAAGATTTGTACCAGCTCCCATCATTGGTCAGGGAAGTGCATGACTTCTTTTTGAGTTTATCAGTATATTTAAAGCATTGTGTTATTTTGTGGCTTGGTGGAAACATTTTTCACATATCTCTTTTGCAGATTTAAGTTGTATTTAATTTTATTTCAAATTGAAGCAATTAGGCAGTTTCACTGGAAAATACTAAACTTTCACACTGTTAGCAAATGGGCTGTGCTTATCTAGTTGATCCTCTCTCAGGAGACCGTATTTCAAAGTGAAATAAAGCACAACATTCCTTAGAATCCTTACAGAAACTAAAGCAATTTAAATATTTTACCGATATCCTAAATTAAATTCACAACGTGAATTAACTCCTTCAAAAGATGCACTGAAAATATCTGGACCAATGTAGATACAGTGCTTTCAAAATAATCAAAATGAAATTGTAGTAGTAGTAGTAGTAGTAAAAAGATCATTGCACTATGATTTTTGTCACTTTGTTCTTACATAGGATTTTTACTTTTGTGTTATTGCAGAATGACAAAGATCGACGACATACCTTTGCCTCATTAGCATTGCGAAAGCGCTACAGCTATCTGGCCGATCCAGCATCCAGTGAGTCCTACATTTTCTTTATTCTTGAAACATCAGCATGACATAATCACACAGTCGAAGCTTCACATGTACACAGGCTTCTGATACAGGCATATATGAAGTCACAATAATCCCATATCTCACCATTTTCCAAAACAGAACTGCCAGTATATATTGTCTGTGTACATTAGTCATAAACATTTACATTTGTTTGCTTGCTTTTTTGCCTTCTCTGTTTTTTCTTTTGTCATGCGTGTTGTTTTTTGTTCCATTGTTGCACATTTCATATGATTTGCTACCACATTGTCTACACAGGTTGCGTATTGCTTAATGTGTTTTTGAATAAACCTATCATCATGTCTAATTTGTTGTTATTTGTTTTTTTATTTTCAAAAGAATTTGCTTGTTTTGCAGACACTTCTTCTAATTGCTCATGATGAAAAACCATGGACTCAATACTTGCTTCTTTATTCAGTTATTAAAGGGGTCATGAACTGCATTTTTAAAAATTATTTTATAATGTTCTCTGAGGTTCACTTATAGGGCCCTATTTTAACGATCTAAGCGCATGGTCTAAAGCGCACGGCGCAGGTGCACTCAGGGCATGTCCGAATCCACTTTTGCTAGTTTAAAGGGATAGTTCACCCAAAAATGAAAATTTGACATTTATCTGCTTTAGGGATGTGCATCTCATGACTCAGGCCGATACGATACGCACCTCGATGCATAGCCAACGATACGATACATTAAAGATACATATGAAGCAGCTACCGATTCGATACGATTCACCCCTATTACGATGCAGTGCGATCCGATTCGATTCAACACAATGCGTTTCAATGTAATATGATGCAGTGGAGAAAATATGATCACTTTTAATGCCTCGAGGCCTGTTTCATAAAACAAGTTAACCAAATAAGCCAGGCTTGTTTCAGTCTGACTCATTGTCAAATGATTTGGTTCCATAAAGCAAATTTAACACAGGCCTAGATCAAGCTTAGTCATTGTGGCAACTTATGCTGGGAAACTAACCTGGTCTAAAGCAGGCTAACTATCAGACTACATTTTAACTGATAAGAGGAACACACATTTAACTCATTTGAGCTAGTAGGGCTGTATTAGCCAGCTTACAGTTACTGCTATCATAAAAATACACTTTATATGTAGGTTTAAAATTCTACAAAAGACACATTTAATGTCCAAAAACAAATTTTTAGCAAAATGTATATTTTACTCGGAATTATTGCGCTCCTATTCGATTGCGCTCCTTCTGTTTAGCGTGCATGCGCACAGCTGCGCTCGTTGCTCTCGCGTGCCTCGCCCACTCCTGACAGCAAAATGGATATGTTTACATGACTTTCTAACATTTACAGATGAAAAATATACCTGTGACATGTCAGTTATGCACCGAGGAAAACACAACGTCTCAAATGCATTAAAAAGCACAGATATATTCGCTGTTTGCGATGGTGGATCGATTTGATCCATGATCGACATTAAGGTCTGCTTAAGAATAAGCGTGCACAAATTAGTTAGATTGTGTGAATTTAATTTGTCGTTAATGGAACCACTTTAGCCCCAATTAATTTGTTAGGTTATTTCAAGTCAGGTTTTGGACTTTAATCCCCACTTTTCCTCGGGTCTCCGTGGTGTTGTGATGTGGCATATTCACGCAGCAGCAGCGGTGATGAGAGAGCGTGCTTGAGAAACAGTTTAGAGAGGAGAACGCAATCTACATATAAAATATTGGTCACAGATTATTGGTCACTTTCTAAATAATAAAAGTATAGCGCATCCACTAGTAATTATATATAAATTAATCATTTTTTACCGATGCAAATATGTTAGAAACGATGCATCACGATATAAATGACAACTTATAGTCGATGCACACTTTTTAAACCGATGCATCGCATCGTTAACTTTTTATGCCGATTCACCGAGCGAATCGGGGAATCTTCCCATCCCTAATCTGCTTACCCCCAGGGCATCATTAACATAACATCCCTAAGCAGAAATAATTTTTAATAATTTTATATCTGATAATAGTTTCAGAACATTTTGAGCTTCTTGGTTTATTTAAGTGGCAGATATTTTTCCATAATTTTGCATCTCCACCCATGTGCCACAGACATGTGTTATGTGTTTTTTTTTTGGTTTTTTTTTCACTTCTCATTGTCAAAAGCTTCCACAGTTTCAGTATTTCCACTGTTGCTTGTTTTTGGATTTATCCCCTGACTAAATCTTTCTTGTTTTTCTTTTCTCTCTTATTTAACTATTTCCGTTTACTTTGTTTATTAATTTAATTATGCTAGAAACAGCTGAAAAAGGCCATAACACCACTCCAAAAACCACGCCGCAGCCTTCTGGCTACGCTTACAAGCCTGTATTTACGACGCGCTCCTACCAGGCCTGGGCGACAAGCTCTCCCATCAACGTCCCTAGCCAGACCAAGTCTGGATTTGGCTCCCTCTCCAGCTCCTCATCCAACACCCCCTCAGCCTCCCCACTGAGGTCGGTGTGGTCTGTGAACTCTGCCTCTCCTATCAAATCTATTATTGGAGGTTCACCAGCATCTTCCATCAAATCTGCCAGTGATGTTGCATCACCGATTCGATCGTATAGAACAATCTCCTCACCAATAAAAACTGTAGTTCAAGGTGCCCAGTATCCAGTCCAAGCTTCCCCCACCCTTCTGTCCTCTCCAGTCAAAAGTGCCCCTGATCCAGTTTCACTTAAAGGCCTCACAGGGCTCTCAGCCAGGACATCTCCTGTACCATCTGGCGGAACCTTGCTGGAAAGATCCTCCATTGCTATTACTCCTCCAGCCTCACCTAAGTCTTCTCTAAACATGTACAGCTCAAGTTTGCCATATAAGTCTGTCGTAACCTCAAACCCTCCAGCAACCTGCTCCCCCATTAAAACTGTCCCGGGCTTTTCCTCTATCAGAACCAGCACTGATGCCTCTGCCAGAGGATATCTGTCATCCCTCTCCTCACCATTGAAATCCGGCTCGGCCACTACAGCAGCTGCGCTGATCAATGGGACAGTTTCCCCAACCAAATATCGCTCCTCCTCCCCAACAACCCATCTTACCAGCACTCTGCAGGAAAGAATTCAAGCCACAACAAATGCAGCAACAACAAGTGTGAACGCTGCCTTTGATGAAGTGGAAAAAACTTTCAATTCCTGCTCTGCTGGCTATGGCACACTAAAGTCAGTGTCCTCCACTCCCTCATCCTCTTACCAGTCTATCCGTTCCTCTGCATCCAACTCACTGTATGCCTCCCTCAGATCCCCTCCGAATTCTACCACAACTGTAACTTCCAGCACTATTACAGTCCCTGTCTATTCAGTTATAAATGTCTTACCAGAACACCAATTTAAAAAGCTCCCTGAAGTCTCCATGTCAACAGCTTCTCTCCTGTCCCCCAGAAGGGCCATGCCCCAAGAGGTTAATGCCCAGACTCAGTCCTCTTTTGCCAGAACTCTATCTCCTGTCAAGACTCCCATGCACATGTCCCCAGGAACAATAAAATCTGCTACCTCTTCATCCCCTCTGTCCAATAGCCAGGAGATTCTAAAAGATGTGGCTGAAATGAAGGAGGACCTAATCAGAATGTCTGCAATTTTGCAAACTGATACAAATTCAAGCTCCAAAGGTTATCATTCTGAGTCTAAGGAACATAAAGGGGAAGATGAGGAGCCTTTCAAGATAGTAGAGAAAGTCAAACAGGACCTGGTCAAAGTCAGTGAAATTCTTAGCAAGGATGTTTTGAGAGAGAGTAAGGCAAATATTAAAAACAGCAAAACAGAAGATGTCCTAGAGGATGACATAGATGATAATCCACAAAATGAGTGGAGATGCCCCCCTCGATATGAAACATTAACCCCTCAAGTCAAAACAAAAACAGTATCTGACAGAGATTTTAACCTTGCTAAAGTTGTTGATTATCTAACCAATGACATTGGCACAAGTTCTATTTCTAAAATAGCAGAGGCTAAACAAAGAACTGAGGAAGCAAGGAAAGAAGGAGATGAGAAACAAAAACGGGTCCTGAAACCTGCAATGGCATTACAGGAACACAAGCTCAAAATGCCTCCAAACAACATGCGCCCTTCACCTTCAGAAAAAGAACTTTCAAAGCTAGCCGATGCATTGTTTGGCCCTGAAATAGCACTAGACTCTCCTGATGATGTCTCCCATGACCAAGACAAGAGTCCACTTTCAGACAGTGGGTTTGAAACTCGTAGTGAGAGAACTCCCTCTGCCCCCCAAAGTGCAGAAGGAATGGGGCCCAAAGGACTCTTTCAGGATATTCCTCCTGTCATCACTGAAACACGCACTGAGGTTGTACATGTCATAAGGAGTTATGAGCCTCCAGGGGATCCTAAGGAGCCAGCTTTGGAAGATGCTAGAATGACAAAGCCTCCACTGCGATGTTCAGACACTGAGCCTCGATCACCTGGTGGGTCGATCAAAGAAAGAGTTAAAGCTTACCAAGCCAGAGTCAATGCAGAGGATGATGTGATGAGCAAAGGTATGCGGGTCAAAGAGGAAACTCACATAACAACAACTACAAGAATGGTGTACCACAAACCCCCCGTTAAAGAGGCTGTATCTAAGAGGATGGAGGAGACCATGTCTGTACGAGACATAATGAAGGCCTTCCAATCTGGGAAGGATCCATCTAGGGAGTTAACAGGCCTGTTTGAGCACAAAAGCAGCAGTGAAGGGGCAGATCCATCTGTCAGGCCTCTTGACCCAATGCCCAAAGTCGAACGTATCATTGAGGTTCACATCGAGAAAGGCAACAAAGCTGAACCAACTGAAGTAATTATCAGAGAAACAAAAAATCACCCTGAGAAGGAAATGTACATATATCAGGGTAGAAGTGGCATGAAAGAACTGCAAAATAGGATGGGCAGTGAGCAACATGACATAGAACCTGAAGAATCTCTTCCTTGTTATCTGGACTCCAGAATACACAAACCTGTCTCTGTGGAGGATGATAAGACCTTGAAATTGCTTAGTCAGCAGTCAGTGGAGTACCACGATGATGAATCATCTGAAACGAGGGGAGAATCATACAAATTTGCAGAGAAAATGCTCCTGTCAGAAAAATTTGACTCTTCCCATTCAGACTCAGATGAATCTGTGATTGACAGGTCTCGATATTATGGTGAGGGAACACAAGGTGGCTCAATTAGAGAATTCATGCTAAAGCCTGATAGGTCAGGTAGATCATCAGAAGATGACAATTATGACAAACTCACTTTGCTGCAGTATGCTTCTGATCCTGATAGTCCAAAAAAGTCTGTTTGGATGAGAGTTTCTGAGGATGGGCAGAGTAAAAGCAGAGAGAATCACAAATATGAGGACAGAGTAGACAGAACTGTAAAAGAGGCAGAGGAAAAACTTAGTGAAGTCTCACAATTCTTTCGTGATAAAACTGAAAAACTGAATGATGAGCTTCAGTCCCCTGAAAAGAAGCATCGTAGACAAGATGCGAGGGAGACTCGTTCTGGGCCCAACTCAACATGTAGTAGCCCAGAGAGGTCAGTGTACAGGAATGGAGGTACTGGAGAGGACTGGAGTAGAGACAGGTTTAGGGATAAGTATGATTCCCATGACAGAAAATGTGCCAGTCTACCAAGCAGTCCTGAAAGACGAGTCTTGCTTCGATACAATGATGACCCGAAAAAGGGAGACAGCTCATCCACAAGCAGTGCAAGTGATTCGTCTAAATATTTCCAGCCCTCAACATCTAAGGTTAGCTCGGTAAGAATGAAATTTGAATCAGAGGCCCAGAAACAAGATAAAGGTCCGCAATGGGGACAAACTTCAGGATCCCCAGTGAGGAAGCTGCAGGAAGGTAAGCTGCCTGTTTATCAAGTTTTTGCAGGGGGGAATATCCCAAGGTCAATAGAGTCTTCAGAAAGTGAGAGAAGCCCCAAAAAAGATAGTGAGGGTGGGTACAGTTACAATGTACGAAAGGCTCAAGCATTTGCCCAAAATCAGCAGAGTGACAGACAAAGAAATAGGTCAGATAACTCTTCACCAAAACATCACCAAAATGTTTACAGTAAGGAGCAAATTGCCAATGAAGATAGGAAAATATACAAAACTTGGGAAAACCATGGCAATGGGCAACTGAAAGGACAAAAGACAAAGCTCACTCATACTCTAGTGCATGATAGGCAAAAGGATGACTCACAGAATGAGCAGCACTCATTGAGAGATGGAAACACCACGACAGAAGAAACAACTAAAAAGATCATTTACACAGAGCTTGTAATTCGAGAAGACCCTAGTAATGCTGAAAATTGTAATGGTGCTCTAAAAAAAAACTCGGAATCACAAATTCCTGTTAGGGTTTCATCTAGTTTTATAGACCATCATCAAAGTAGTACTTTAAAGTTAGATTCCTCCATTAAATCTGAAAGAACAGGGTCTCACATAGCCAGAAATACACAGTACCCTAATTCTGGGGCTAGCAAATCACCTAGTGATGTGTCATCTGTAGTGAACTCAGATTCTAGCAGGCAGATTGTTAATATAGTCTGTAATGGTGTGGATGATAACCAAGTTGAGTATATTGAAAAAGTGACCCCAGGTGTCACTGCGGACATTAAACCTCTTCCTGTGTATGTCAGCGTTCAAGTAGGTAAACAGTATGAGAAAGAAACTGCCACTGGCCAGTTAAGCACTTACAAAAAAGTTGTAAGCCATGAGAGCAGGACAGTACATGAAACACGTGGAGCGTTTTATTCTGTCAAACAGAAACAGCCGCAATCTCCACAGGGAAGCCCTGAAGATGACACGTTAGAGCAGGTTACATTTATGGACAGTTCAGGGAAGAGTCCAGTAACTCCTGAAACGCCTACCTTTGAGGAGGTCAGCTACGACCTGAACTCCAGAGCTCCTGAGCCTGTCATCAGTTCCATTGCTGGCATGCCTAGCCCAATCCCAGAGGAGTCAGAGGAAGAGGAGCAGCCTAAGACATTCATTTTCAAGGCAGTATCAGCAGAAAAAGCCAAATCTGCCACTCAATCATCAGAACCTTCAAAAAGAAAGCAAGACTCAAATGGAAAAAGGTCAAAAGACAAACGCATAGCTTACATCGAGTTCCCACCACCACCACCTTTAGAAACTGAGCATGCTGACCCTGAAAAGAAGGGGTCATGTCCTTCCTCAGAAGCAGAAACAGAGATGATGGAGGTGAACCTTCAAGAGGAACATGACAGACATCTCTTTGCAGAGCCAGTAATCAGAGTCCAGCCTCCTTCCCCTCTTCCACCTGTAGCTGACAATAGTGACTCTAGTGATGATGAATCTGTTTTTCAGCCTGCCCCCCTTAAGAAGTACACATTCAAAATGGCTGAGGAGTGTGAGAAACATGTTAAGCCTACGAAACCAGAGAGAAACAGCTCACACCAAAAGGAATCAGGTATCAATGGCATTGTCAAAGAAGAAGAGGTAGAATGTGAACAGAATGGAAATGATCAATCTATCACTGATTGCTCATTAGCAACAACTGCTGAATTTTCCCATGATACTGATGCCACTGAGATAGATTCTCTTGATGGGTATGACCTACAAGATGAGGACGATGGACTGAGTGACCCTAAAACATCCAGTCTGTCGAATGAGGGAAAAGCAGGAGATCGGCCTTTCAGCCAGAGCAAACTTGAAGTGATTGAAGAGGAGAGCACGCCAAATGAGGAAATAGGGGAAAAGGCAAAAACAAAGAGGCCATCTGGGAAAAAATCAGACAATGGGAAAGAGGATAAAATCTATTCTTTGGAGGGAAGACACCCAGATAGACAAGGTTTTACAGACGATTATTTTAAGTCCCAACTAGAAGAGGGCATAAACACTACCTTTAAAACTGTGGCTACTAAAGGCTTGGATTTCAATCCATGGTCTGGTAAAGTTGGAGAGGAGGGAGCTTTTGATGCTAAAAACAATGATGAAGATCCGAAGCCCTGTGCTTTGTCAGTGGAAGACAAATCACAAGCAACCACGCCGGATACCACTCCAGCAAGAACCCCAACAGATGAGAGCACCCCAACTAGTGAGCCCAACCCTTTCCCCTTCCACGAGGGCAAGATGTTTGAGATGACCCGCAGTGGTGCTATTGACATGAGCAAGAGGGACTTTGTTGAAGAGAGACTTCAGTTTTTCCAGATTGGTGAGCATACATCAGATGGGCAGTCAGGGGACAAGGGGAAAGGGGGCAGGAATGCGGGGGTAGTCGCCTCTCACTCAAAGGCAGGGGAAAGAGCTGTAGAGGGGAAGGTAGAGGCAACCACAGATTTAACGCCATCCAGAGGCAACACAGTGCAAGGCAGTGCTGACTGCCTGGACGCACCTCCATTCGCTGACACCACCTCATGCACTGTCACAGCCTCCAAGGCCGACCCCAAATTACGCACCCCCATTAAGATGGGCATCGCAGCTTCCATTACTATAAAGAAAGACCCTGGCTCAGCTGAACTGACTGATGCTAAAACTGAGTCCTCAGACAGTCAGATGCCGGAATACATTAGCTTGGAGTCAAGGCAATTAGCTGAAAGTCACTTTGATAGCAGGGTCACTAACTCTTCCCAGACTGGCAGAAAAGATTACCCATCAGAAAACTACAATAACAACAATAATTTAGAGTCCTCTAATGTGCAGGCCAACTACATCCAGTGTGGTAGTGTAGTGTTCAATTTGCAGTCATCTTCTGAACCCACCTTACAGAAAGCTAGTAGAATAGAAGCTCAGTTTTGTAGGGAGTCTTTAGAGAGAGTGGACAAAGCCATTACTGAGAGTCCTCAGACTAAAGTAGTCTCAGAAAACAGGCAGACCAAGTCTAGGCTCCCAGTCAAGGCAGCAGGGTTCAGTTTTAACACACTCAGTTCAGGGAAGCAGAAGCCTCAACAAGTTGTGAGGCCAGAGGCAAGGAAAGTGGATCCTGCATCCATAATGCCTGAGCCCAAGTCTAGAATACCTGTCAAGGACATCAAAAGAAATGGTGCTTTTAACTCAGCTGTCACAGCTCAGGTAGTTTCAAGGTCAAGTAAGCTCACAGAGTCAGAGAGATCAGTCAGACCAGTATTTCCCTTTAGGCTGCCTTTCAAAGACAGGTCATCTGGTGCTTCTAATGGTTCAGTTAGCAAGGCAGGTAGAGGCAACTTTAGCGAGGTGTGTAGGCAGTCAACTGAGTTCTTAAAAAATGTTAGCGGAGAAGCAATAAAGGTGGCCGAACGACTTTCAGACGAGGAGAAACAGACACAGGGAGAGCAGTCGCAATCGGAGGAGGACAGCAGCACATCACGAAGCATCTCACTATCGGACCCCTCTCAGTCCCAGCCCTCCCTCTCCTCTGGCTCCTCCCGAGGGGTCACACCCTCAAGGACAAAGGTCACAAGGGCGGCGGGCAGTGAGAGGAGGAGGAGTAAGCGGACTGGAGGAGGGAAGGAGGGCAGTAAGAACGATGGGGCTCGCAGGTCGCCCCCCGTCGCGGAGATCAAGCCTAGTTTGTAAAACTTTATTGAAAACTTTACTTGATCTTTAGTTGCATGAGCCGTTGTGACTGACTGGATTGCCTGTGGCGTGAATAATAGCTGTCATTCTTGTCATTCTTTCATCACTGTGCTGTGTGACTGTACCGTACTGTATCTGTCCCTGTCAGATCTCCCCTTCTCTCTCCCCTACCTTCCACAGATAATTTATCATAATAATGACGGGTGGGGCACTGAACAGTCTACCTGTGCTGGGTTGGTTAAAGGAGCATTGTTGAGGAATTTATACCTGCTTCAGTGTTTGTTAACTTTGTTAGAAAAAATTTACAGTACTATGTTGTCTGCATGCCTCATTTCAACAAAGTCTCTTTTTTGTTAATGTTTTGATTTAATTTTTTTAAACTGTTGTATAAACTCAGTTATTGCCTGCATAGATTCTGTGGAAAATTTGTTTCACATACACAATCAGAGCACCAAATGTGTAGCTGAAATGTTCTAGTTCACTGTCTTGTCTGTTCTTCCTTTTCTAGCCAAACATAGTACTATTCTAAAAACGTCCTTTCATTTTTCCTCTCCTGTTAATAGGTTCTGTTGGAGAAAGATCTTGTTAATTTTTCCTTGTTTTGGCCAGAAAAGAAGGAAGTCATCTGGATTTTTCTTTTGAAATGAATAAGTAACATGTTTGTAATGTTTTTGTTCTGTATGTCATGACAGGTCCACAGAGTCCCTGTGAGAGAACAGACCTTCGTATGGCCATTGTTGCTGATCATCTGGGACTGAGCTGGACAGGTAAGACTCACTTTGCCCCATGTGCCTGAAATATTAGAGGTTACATTTCACTTGCCAGGTACTAATTATTTACTACCAACCTTCTGAAAGCTAACTTATTTAAATAGGGAGTCAAATTATAATTTGATCGCTAATAATCAATGGGAAACAATCCTCAGAACAGCATTGCTGTGGTGCCCTCTTGTGCCTTTGCTTGGTATTGCAGTGCAGAACTGGATTGATTTTATTTTTATTCAGAATTTTAATTGAAATTCAATTCAGTTCATAATTCTTCACATCTGACAACACACTATGAAAGACTCACTGTATTTTCCTAAATATCTGATTCTGATTAGATTTTAAAATGTTTACTTAGTTCAGAAACAGGAATTCTTAAAGGGGTCATATGATGTTGCTAAAGCCATTATTTTGTGTATTTGGTGTAATGCAATGTGTTTATGCGGTTTAAGGTTAAAAAAACACATTATTTTCCACATACTGTACATTATTGTTTCTCCTCTATGCCCCGCCTTTCGATTTTTACAAAGCTCATCGGTCTGAAAAGCGAGGTGTGCTCTGATTGGCCAGCGATCCAGTGCGTTGTGATTGGCCGAATACCTCAAGCATGTGACGGAAATGTTACGCCCCTTACCATATCGTGATGCTGAGCGACGAGACAAAAACATTAAAACTCATTATAAACGAGGCATTTGTTGCATCCAGTGAGGACGTAATTACGGGTTATAATGACTTATACTGTCTTTTTATGCATTGCGTTGCATCGCACCGCGTAAACATAAAACCATGTCTGCATTTGTGATCAGAGAAATGACA